CAGTTCCTAGTTATGAGAACTGCGAAAATCAGCGTACAAAGCTTCCTCCTTATTACATATTCAGTCATTCCATTGGAATGTAGGTAAAAAATTGAATAAATACGGTTCTTAATTCCTTAGCCGACTCACTCTTCGAAGTACAGTTGATTGGTGTAATTTTACAAAAGTAAACGCACAGCATTACTGTGTTTCCATCTTGGTTTATTTGTTTTGGGTTCAGTTAACTACTTTCTTAGAATTTATGTGACCTACTGATTTAAACAAAGTGATTTTATGAGGTCATAGGGGGGATGCACCAGGAGCGTTTAATTTTCCCGTCGGAGTCCTCGCCGAATCACTGGTTGATCAAGGACATGCAACTTTCGCTGTGTGCTGCATTTTAGTAATTGTAGCAAACCAAAAATACGAAGTAAGCAGTAGAAAGCGTCTATCAGAATGATTGATCGCCTTTTGACTTTTCACATGATTACGATGAGGATGCAATGTGACTGCTGCAAAACAGCAAGTGCAATAAAAGTTCCCTGTAAAAAAAATACCACGAATACACTTAGTAGCACACAACAACCTAACTAAAATGAACCGTGGTAGGACATGTCGATGTTATCACTTTACAACCAAATGTCGAGTTTCCTCCAATTTTCCTTACACCTCATCGTGGTACCTGGTTCCTACAACGCATAAAGTGGATGATTTGACTCAAATCAACTTAACCTAAGATCACAGAATAAGGTCTTTGATGTATACTGATAGGAAAGGGCCTAAAGTTGGGTTGAATGATACCAAAAGTTGTTTTCAAAGTCACGTTGTAAAACTGACACCCGGAGGCTTTATTTATAACCCGTTTGCTGGTCAGGTGTGCACCATACACCTAGTGGTGTGTGCTAATGCGCACGTGCCAAAGCACGTAAATTAAGCAAACTCGAATTTGTTAGTTCGGCCAAGCACTGTGTTAAGGTTGGAAAATTGCGGTTCGGTGGTTCATGGTTGAACAGATGGCGAGGAAACTCTGCAGCTTTGGACGAATCTCCAGTTTTCAGATATTGTCTTCGGTGAAAACTACATGAACAAGCCTAGAGCAACTGGTGACTGAGGTCTGTCAAACTGCAGATTAGTAGAGTTAAATCCAACCCAATCCAACGACATACTTTTTTTAATGCGAGTGATAATAATGAAGCCTTTCTTGTTACAATTAAGCACATCCATTTCAGAGACAGGTGTGCTCTGTAACTTCGTGACATCACCTGGGACTCTGAACTGAAAGTCAGCTGGGGTGAAAAATGAGTCGCCTGAGGGAAATCTCGTAACAAAGCAGAGTTGTAAGGGAAGACACGCTTAAATCTTTTAGCTTTTCTTACTAAGATTTGACAAAAGGATCTTTTTCGGCTTTTTGCTAAGAAATCACCTAATTCTATCTGGCGTCATATATTCTAGGGATTTGACGTTTTAATTAGGAAAAAGGAAACGAGTAACTGCGTCAACTCTGTGCGTATTGCATGTAGGAATCGTTTGTGCGATGTCCTTCTAAAGGCAAAGATGTTGTTGATCTATCAACCACTTTTTCAGTGACTCTCTGAATAGCTAATTAACATTTGTATTTGAATTGAGACGGATGTGGGTACTTAGATGTAGACATTAAATACTTTAGGGTTTTCTAAAGAAGCGATCACGCCCAGCAAAACAGCATCAAATCTTTTGTGATTAGATACAACACGAAAACGTTTTTTAAACGCGGCATTCTAACGGTTTTAGTATCAATCCATGAGGGGTAAATGCTCACCTTACTACCTATTGGCTCAAGCTGCAGTTAATTGGCTATTTTCCACTTCCTATGCGATACTACTAATCAGTTGTTTTACTTTGACCCATAAAATGAAAAGTTTGCTTGTCGTGCGTAGAATTCTAATGTGAACCACACGACGACCCCAATTAAGTTATATGTATTATGCAGTCTTATATCAGCGTTTCCATAAGTTCTGCGTTCTAGATGGTATTGCTGCCAGATGGAAGGAATTTGCTCGAAGGAATGGTCCACTGGGTACCTGGAGCTGCAACACTGAGGGTGGTTAAAAGGATGTCATGGAATGATAGGACTAATTTCAAGGATTGTATGCAATCACGAATAAAAATTAAAAAATCACAAAGATACAGTAGAATTTGGTAAGACCAGGCTTATGTACACTTGCTTTATATACACAGAGTTTATTTGAAATATGGAAGTGTTTTCTGTGATATTGCTGTTTTGCTAAAAGTAATCAACGGATCCTCAATGTCTATGGAATACTATTATTGCTACATGCCTGCTGTTTAAATGCCCGAGTCGGTCATACGTCTAAAAATTTTGCCTTCTAATGTGCTAACTCAAAAAGTTCTACTAAATCAAAAGGGACATTTCAGCTTATCTTGGGCTGGATTTGAACAATCGCGAAGTTCACTATTAGCATTGGTTGAACAATTACCCTGTAAGTTAATGTGACTCTTGACATCGTGCGAAAACCTTGGCGTGGCCGTTTCACAAGCGCACGATAAACTAATGCGCAAGTTGAGTCATGCTAAAAAATAATACAATTTAAGCGCATTTTGCAAAAGGTTACGTGACTGACTAGCCGGTTAGAGGTGGAATGTGGTTTAATTAAGTCGAGGAATTAGCGATTCCAAGGATCAAAAGGGAAGATTGTCAGAAAATCCGTATTTCTTCAATAGGCTGTTTGACTTACTCTTGAATTTGCTGTAGTAAGTTAAAAAATGTAGGTCGAATTATTTAATTTGTAAGTCTTATCACTCGTTATGTTCTAACTCGTCGTGCGTCTTCACCGAGATAGTTTTTCGAAAGCAAAATAATTTTTTGGTTTCCTTGTGGAGGGAGGACCTCGGCAGCGCTGAATATGGCTTCGTATTGCTGATAGACGGCATCATATTCGGTCATTAGATTTCTGATCGCTTGTCGATAATCCATAATGCAATCTCGGTAGTCGCAATTGAGGCAAAGACATGACTTGTAAGCATATAAATGAGGCCAAAATTGCGACGCCACATTTTCTTTGGCAACAGAGTTCTTCAAACGTTCTTTAATTATTTTCATTCTGTGTTCTTCTTGCTTGAGTTTGTGCGATTGCAGCAAATAGTCTTTGATATCAGGCGCATTTCTTGGTATGGTTTTGAATCGATTTGGATCCTGGATGGGCGGGAGGTGAGTTTCTTCACTTGAAGGATTAGGAGATATGAACAAGACTCCATCAGGATCACCGATCTTGGAACTTACCCACGTTGCTCTAAAAAGTCTTGTATAGTCATGATGGACCTCGACATACTCCTTGTAGAGCCTGTCAAAAGTTGCAATGGTGGATCCTAAGTACTCGCTGAAAGAGCATATGAAACCGCATTTGCAAGGAAAAGGAAGTTTTTTATTGCTATTCAAAGCTTTCTTATTATTTCGTTCCTCTTCAAGCACCTCTTGTACCACATTCCTCACCGTTTGACGAAAAATATCCGCTTCTTGTTGTCCATTCGATTCAGGATTCTCAGGGCGAGTTCTATTCCAATTTATGAATTTTGATATCTAGTAAACGAGTAAATTTTAGATTTCACTTTGAAATGTAAAGTTTGGCATTTTCAAAAAATATTTCTGGTTATGGGCTAATGAGAGGTCGTTTTTAACACAACTTCATTCAAAATTTAGCTCCAATTATCATACCCAAACACGCGTTACGAGGTTTACTAGTCAAACATTGTGATACTTGAAATCCGGATGTAAAACAATCGCAAGATACGAATTACATTTTCATTTATGTGAAACATAAATTGACTGATCAGTCCGTTCTCAGACAATGATAACTAATCCCCATGCAGTAAAAATGTATTCATTTTTACTTTACCATCGATTTAATATTTAGCCAGGATTTTACAAGCTAGACCAAAAATTGGCTACAAAATGAAAATCACAATATTTCCATTGCATATGTTCAAGTTAGCTCTGAGATAAATGAACCCTAACTATCCATTAATGGTAAAATTGAAAAAAAAATAGATTCCTTCAAGAAATTTACAAAGCGTAAATCATACTTTGAAACACAGACGCAACATAATTAGACAGTGGCCTAGTATTTAGATGCTGATGAAAACCAGCAACATAATGTCCAGTTGAACAGGCGCACAACGCTTTTCAAATTAAGTTTTAATGGCATATCATCACTTTGCCTGATCTATTATAAAGTTGTACTTGACATTTTTTTCAATTGCAACAGAATGTTTCAACGCTCTATGGTTCAATGTATTTTCTTTTTAACTGGCCATCTCACTGGATAATGCGGATTATCTTCAAAGAGACATAAAAGGCAACAGCAAAGTAACCATGAAACCTTGGCCAGAACAAATGTAATAAATTATTTGGCTTTAAATAAGACTTAATTTAACAAAATACTACGTATCGATCAAAAGTGACAGAAAGGTAACTGATAAATTAATGTTCAGTGAATTTAAATTCTAGAAGTAATTTTCAGGAAAACAATACAATTTTGAAAAAAATTATGATCCCACTTTCAATACTCCTTAAAGGATGCAAGCTGTCTGGTTTTAGATTTTTTGCTTCAATACATTGTGTATCTAGTGGTAAAGTTAATATAAGTTAATAAAAAATTAATGACAACGGCTAAAGCTACACTGTATCAAAGTAAACTTAAGAAGACATGTGCAATGTCCTCTGATCAATCCATAGTAACTTCTTTTTTTGCTTATTAAATTAATGACTAATCAGAAGCGCTTTCATATTATCAAGACTTATTTTAATTCAATAAACCCCATTGAATTTCGAAGATCCTTAATATTCGTCAATTGAAAAATTATAGTCCTGTTAGCTTGACAAAAAATTTTATATTAACATGTGTATTTAGCGTTTATTTAGGTAGAACGTGATATCATTGAAAGTGGTAGGGACAGAGGCTGGCTCTAATGCAGTTTTGTTTTACTGCATCACTCAGGCCCAAGATTCTAGATTACTTTTGTGTCCTTTGGCGTGCAATTCCCTGGTGTCGTCATGCTTCAGCGCGTATCGAGCCTCTGTCAAAAAAATACTGTAAGTCAGGAAATTAATGGATTATTTGGCCTAGGGTCTTATCTTGAAACATATTTCTGGAGGGTTTTCTTCCGGTGTAAAAGGTCATGTTATCGGCATCGATCTGGGAACTACCAATTCCTGCGTCTCTGTAATGGAGGGGAAGACGCCTAAGATTTTGGAGAATGCAGAAGGCGCACGGACAACACCCTCTGTTGTTGCTTTTACGCCAGAGGGCGAGCGTCTAGTTGGGGCTCCGGCCAAACGGCAGGCTGTAACCAATTCGAAAAACACGCTTTATGCCACAAAACGCTTGATTGGTCGCCGATTTGATGATCCAGAGGTTCAAAAGGAAAAGAAAAATGCGTCCTTTACCATCATTAGAGCTTCAAATGGTGATGCCTGGGTAGAGGCACACGGTAAAGCGTATTCCCCGAGCCAGATTGGCGCATTTGTTTTAATGAAAATGAAAGAGACTGCTGGTATGATGCTTTTGACCGTTAACCGTGTTAGAAAACTATCTGGGAACCAAGGTGAATAACGCTGTCATCACAGTGCCAGCTTATTTTAACGACTCCCAGCGACAAGCTACTAAGGACGCCGGCCAGATTGCTGGCCTGAACGTGCTGCGAGTTATCAATGAACCTACGGCTGCGGCCCTTGCTTATGGTCTTGACAGAGTTGAAGATAAGACGTAAGGCACCATTGGTTTATCAATTTCGTCTAGGATTGCCGTTTATGATCTGGGAGGAGGCACATTCGATATTTCTCTGTTGGAAATCCAGAAGGGTGTATTTGAAGTGAAGTCCACAAATGGCGACACTTTCCTAGGTGGTGAGGATTTTGATCAAGTCCTTCTGAAATATCTTGTGGATGAATTTAAGAAAGAGGTAACTTTAAGGTTCGTGAAGTCTTACATTTTCAGCAAGGGATCGATATTACTAAAGACTCTATGGCACTACAACGTGTAAGGGAAGCGGCCGAAAAGGCCAAGGTGGAACTCTCTTCATCTCTGCAAACTGATATCAACTTGCCATATCTTACTATGGACCAGACTGGTCCCAAGCACATGAACATGAAGCTCTCTCGTTCAAAATTAGAGTCTCTAGTTGATTCCTTGATAAAGCGGACAATTAGCCCGTGTGAGAAGGCAATGAAGGATGCGGGTGTCAAGGCTTCCGATGTCGGCGATGTGATCCTTGTTGGAGGTATGTCTCGAATGCCCAAGGTGCAAGAAACTGTGAAGAAGATTTTTGGTCGCACGCCTAGCAAGAACGTTAACCCCGACGAAGCGGTCGCGATGGGCGCAGCCATTCAGGTAATCACGAACTGTAGGACTCATGTTTTGTGGAACATTTCTTTTGTATCTTAGTTTGATTAGCTGTTTCTTTCTCTAACCTAATTTCGTCTGTTTTTTTTTCTAGGGAGGTGTGTTGGCTGGTGATGTTACTGATGTGCTGCTTCTTGATGTTACGCCTCTCTCACTTGGAATTGAAACTCTGGGTGGTGTTTTCACTAAATTGATCAACCGCAATACAACCATTCCAACAAAGAAGTCTCAGGTATTCTCTACCGCAGCCGATGGACAAACCCAGGTGGAAATCAAAGTTTTTCAAGGTGAGCGCGAGATGGCAGCTGACAACAAATTGCTCGGCCGTTTTTCTCTTGTTGGTATCCCGCCGGCGCCCCGCGGCGTGCCTCAGATCGAAGTCACTTTCGATATTGATGCCAACGGAATCGTGAATGTTTCTGCTCGTGACAAGGGTACTGGAAAAGAGCAGCAGATTGTGATTCAGTCTAGTGGCGGTCTTAGCAAGGATGAGATCGAAAACATGGTCCGTAATGCCGAACAGTATGCCGCAGCGGACAAGGAACGTCGTGACTTGGTTGAGGCTATCAATCACGCTGAGGGCATCGCTCATGACACGGAGACAAAGATGGAAGAGTTCAAGGAACACTTGCCTCAGGAGGAGCGAGATAAGCTCGCCAAATTGATTGCTGATCTTCGTGAAACTCTTAGCAATAAGGACAACCTAACGACCGAGTCGCTCAAGAAAGCCACTGATGATTTGCAGCAGTCGTCATTGAAGCTGTTTGAAATTGCGTATAAGAAAATGGCTGAAAGTCGCTCCTCGGGTAGTAGCGAATCGAAGGAAAAGGACCAGGAGTAGATATTATTCTGCAATCCACTACATTTTCTTAAAACATCAGCTCTGCCTTTTCATTACACGATCATTCGCATTTTCTTACTTTGTATGTAGAGCTGCAGTTAGTGCTGTCATTTGGATCTGTAAATAGCGCATTATTTTAAATACATTTGTCATTCCATCTGTGTAGTTTTACCATCGTAACTAAGGGAGCAGAAGGGGGTGATTTTTCGTGGAATCTGATTGCTTCTCTCGAGCGAAGTTTAGACAGGGTCATAGGACCAGTCAGTTACTGAGGTAGTGTACGTCTTTGGTTCCAGTGTCACCTGACCTGCGATAACAGAGGTGAGGGACAAGCTTTTGGGGGTGTGCTCCGTCGCTGGGAGCTTGAGTGACCGACGAGTTCAAGAATGGAATGGTGTTTGGCTTGCTCAGGAGCTAGTGGGGAGTTAACGTGTCTACCAGCGTGTGGTGAGACATTCGTCGGGGTTTTACCGTGGTAGGGCTGAGCTCAGATGTGCCTTGTTGGTCTAGGCGTTGGGTGAAAACAACTCAAATCTCGGAAAGCTCTTTCCATGGCTTCTGAATATGTGCTGTAACCGCCTTGCGGACATCTCATTTGTGTGTGTATGGGTACTCGAAATGTTTCTCGGCCTCTGTAATCATGCAAAGATCACGAGTTTTTACGAGGGGGCGAGGTTGTGAAGAGAGCTGAGAAATCACGCCCCGAGGAACAGAGAGAGACAAATCTAACATGGCAATTGAGCGTACGGATTTGGCAATAATTGACGTCAGCACCACATGTAAGTGCCGGACGAACACATTACTTTTGCCGTTACTTTTTATTCCCCTTGCTAAGCTCAAGGGATATTACCAAGAGTAGAAGGCATTACTGGATTTTGGCAAAGCTCAGGATGAAACGAGGGCTCCAGAATGAATTTTTTTCTTAGCCTCTCAGAAGATGCAGAATTACGTGACAACATTTAGGATATGGAAACATAACGTGTCAAATAATACATAAATAAACAGCGCAGCTGAAAGTTACCTGCTGAATAATCCAATTAGCCATTTAAAAAAGTAAATTTAAAATTTCAGATAATAACACAACATAACTCACACAAATTTATTGATTAAAGTTATTGAAGGCAAACTACGGTGGTGTAACATGTCTGGACATAATAAGAAGGTTCATGGATGGTTATACAGGTTTATTGGTGCAAAATACTGACAGGGGTCACCAGTATCAGGGTTAAGGTTCATTGTGGACAAGGGGCTTGCTTATATAGTCGGTCCAGCTTGGCCTCTAGAAATAGAAAGCCAAACTCGTGAGGTGATTGGATACTAGGGCTCTAGCGCTCTATTCGGAACTGCACTGCTCCACGCAACCGGAAATCAAGCCACTTCTCACGTGATGCCGTGGTGGGGTTAAGCCTGTGGACGAGACCACAGCAGACCTATATGGCAAAAGACAAGCTGGTAAAGCCTCATCCCACTGGTGAAGCGCATATTTATCAAGATGCAACCTTAGAAGCGTCTTGAGCGTCCTATTTGTCCTTTCTACCTGACCATTTCCTTGAGGATGATAGGCTGTGGTGCGACTTCTATGGATATCTATGGATATCTATAACATTACACAGCTCCAGAGGCAACAAGCTTTTAAACTGAGCATCCCGATCAGTGTAAATCTGATATGGTACCCAATGGTCTGCCACTTATCCTGCGACGAAACCTTTTGTCATCGACGCGACATCTGCCTTCCGTAGGGGTATTGATTGAGCCCGCTTAGTAAAGTAGTCGACCATAACCAGAATATACCGGTGGCCGTTCACCGTTTGAGGAGGAAGACCCATTAAATCTAGACTAACTAACTCATTTGGAAATCCTGCTGTCATGGGTTGGAGTGGGGATTTGGCCACACGAAGTGGCGCCTGCACTTCCCCATATAAATTACAGTTTGCACAAGTGTCGTTGATATCCTCTCGCATGGCAGACCACCAGTAGCGTTGACGCGCCGTCTGCTCTAACTTTGCTGGACCTAGATGACCCAGGCTGAGGTGCAGGTCAGATACAATTTGATCCACCGCGGCCCTGGGTGCAACCACACGTAAGAGGTAAGACGGCCCAAATCTGTAATATAGGACACCGTCTCGGAAACTAAGATTATTCCACTCAAACCGGCCATTTCCACTTTAGTCGGCTAGGGAGAGCCCGTTGCTACCTATCACATTTAAGGCTTATGTAGGGGTCTTCTGATTGCGCCGCATCCCGATTCTTGGTTGCATTCTGTTCCATAGAAATTGCAGCTAAGGCGCCCGTAAACTCCGGTATCCGAAACAGAGCGTCGGTATTCTTGCACGTTTTGTCCGGGCGGTAATCGACCCTGTAATTGAATTTACTCAATATCTCCAACAACATAGCGATCATGCTCGTTAGTTTCTTGAAACTACAGAGCCAGCCCGAGGCGTGATGATCAGTACGCACCACGATTTCACTCCCCAAGAGGTAGTGTTTATGGTACTCGAGGAAATACTTTTAGGCTAGCACTTTTCGTTGGCGGTGCTATATTTCCATTTGGCTTTCAATAAAGCCCTGCTGCTGAACGTAATAGGGTGGTCCGAACCGTCAGGTTGTACCTGTGAAATTACCGCCATAATTGCCCTAATTGACGCATCGGCGTCCAAAATAAAAGGGCAGTGGTCCTAATCGACATTAGGAAAGGCAGTAATCGGGGCTTCCACTTGGCGGCCTTTGAATTCGGAGAACGCCTGTTAGCATTGCACCGTCCACTCCCACCAACGCATTTTCTCAGTTAGCTTGTGAAGGGGAAAATCATCATACCCAAATATCCTAACGAACTTGCGATAGTAAGTTGTTAGTCCCGCATCGGTTGGGGTAGGCCACGTTCTAACCTTATCCATCTTATCCCGGTCCTTTCAAATACCCTCTTTCGAAACAATGTGGCCCAGAAATTAACCGAATCCCTGGGGAGCAAATACTTGGCCGATTTAACATCGAGCCCTGCCCTTCAAAACTGCTCGAAGACATTTCGCAGAGGCTTAAGGTGTTAAGCACCGCCCTTCGTATGAACTATCACGTCGTCCATATATACGAGACACTCCTTTGTTATTAGCACTTGCAAGGCAGGGTTCATTAGTACTTGAAATGTTTCTGGAGCTTTTGCCAAGCGGAAAAACATGATTTCGAACTCATAGAGCCCAGGCGGAACTACGATTTCTGACTTCTGCCGGTGAGCTGGATTGATCTCGACTTGCCGATGGCCCGACTTTAAGTCCATGTTATAAAAGATAGTCGACCGGCCCAGTGCGTCAACTGTCATATCCATGGGCGGAATAGGAAAATTATCTTTCACCGTTACTTCGAAAAGCTTACGGTTACCCACGCAAAACCTAACAGAACCGTCCTTCTTCTTGATGACCACGATGGGTGATGCCCACGGAGCAGCATCTCTTCAATAGCCTCTTCGACTGCCCGCTGATACACCACGGGCATTCAACGGGGCCGTTTTCTGATGAAGTTTATGTTGTATGAATGTCATGACAGGTGGCACTCGCACGGCTAGGGCTGCTCCCACCCCAAGCGAAAGCATCCAAATTTTTTTTATCAGCCTGCGGAGCAGGAATCTATCTGAATCTTATGTGAAAGCATTTGTGCTTACCAAGAGGTCTGACTCTTCCCTAGTTGGATGTACCATTGGTGTAACTACTGCAGTGACGCCATTGTTCTGTCAGTACGCACCGGATACTTCATGCGAACCCAGGCGTAAGCAAGACCGTGGTCGGCGAAATTCTCTTGAGTAACGATCTGGAAAGTCGGATCCAATAATCCGCCATGTGATATATCTGCGCACAGATACAGAGTATGCTGGTACCAGCTTCCCGCTATTGCAAAATGCATATCTACACATCCGTCGCAGCCCATCAAGATGCCATTAGCGGCCCTAACTCTGATAGGGGACGCCAATAGATAAAGGCCGAGCGCACCTAAGAAACCGGAAAGGCTTAACAAAAGAACAACCTGCCATCTTTTTTGATTTAAGCATGCATCGATTTGTTACGCAAACCTTAGGATATTAAGGGCCTACTATCTAAACATGATGCATAAATAGCGGGACATATAACTAACACACTTGAATACCTCTACAGCTATGATGAAGGTTAAGGGGGTCTACGTCCTGTTTAGCCTCTCATAGACTGAAATCAATGACTTCCCCGTGGCTGCCATGTCCGTTGGCAGCTACCAACTGGAGAAGCGATTCAAATTTGGGTCCTGAGAAAGGATTTCCTAGACCTCCGCCATGGGGCGGACAACATCGGCTCTGAGGCCCAATATGATTTGTTCAACAGTTCCTTACTTGATCACTTCCTTGGACTGCAAAAAATAAAAAAACTTAATTTTGATAAATTGTTGCCCACTTTTAATTAGAATGTTTTGTTTCATTTTAATTTGTTTTAGTTTACCAATTTACGTGAACAACGTCCTCAAACCCATTCAAGTGTATTTGTATTTACGCCCATGTCTTCGAAGAAGGTTTGAGTGTTTTTTTGAGTCTTTTAAACTAGATATGATTTAAAGCTATATACTTTAATTTTTTTGTTCATTTAGAAAATCGTTGTTGATACCAAGGCATGTGGACCCCTAACTGCCTACCTCCACGTGAGTTTGTCTCCCCTAATTAATTCCCTTCTAGGGAGGTCGTGTAGGAAAGGATGTTGCTGCGCTTACGGTTCACGATCTTGGATGCAATCGTAGAATACCAATTTAAGTTTGACAATTTTTTAGATAAGGAATTTTATGAGTTTGTAAATCATGAACACATGAGTCAACTTACTCAGCGATGCTTCTGGATTCATGTTGAAGTACCGGGACAGGGTGATAACATGCCAGATCTCCCATCAGAGTAAGAAACCATATTAATGTTATTTGGTTGCGAAATATTTGAATTTTCTAGTTATACTTGGTCTTTTTTATTATTGTTGTGATCATTCGCCATCGTGGCTGCCGAAAGCCTTTTAAATTCACATTTTGACAACCAATGTGTATTTGTCTCTTGAGAGTATATAATCCCCAGCTGCTCAAAATATTTGATATGAATTGTCTTGTCACTATCGATTCTCGTTGAATGGATAGCCTTAAATAATATTTGTTTTGAAAAATCGTTCTCAGATTCAAAAAAATATGCAAGTTCCTCTTAATACCCCCTTGACGTTTTATCCTTAACAAATGTTTGTAGCTCTAAAATTGTAAGTGGAGAACCATTTAAGAATGACAGTCGTTCCACTTATTTGAAATAGATTTTCATCAGTTAATTTGAAGACCCTTGGATTAATTTTTGTTCTTGGTTTTAAGCTGGAAGTTTCCAACAATGCAGAAAATCTCTGAGGGAATTTCTGAACTTTGTGACAGTCTCGAACTAAAACATGTTGTCGTTATTGGAGATGGTGCTGGTGCAAACATAGTCGCCCGGTTTGCTGTAGGTCTTCTGGTTGCATATGTTGAGTCCCTTTCCAGATTGCTCGTGAAGATATTTGCCTCGGAGCAATTCTTATACACTGCACTGGCACAACTGCTGGTTTTATGGAATCACTTCGTGATCGCGTAAGTCAGTTTTGGTTGTTTTTATGACCTTCTATAGAAATCAATTTGGCAATAATAAATAAGTTGAGCAAATTTGGCAAATTGTAGTATTGGTAGTTGCAAAGACTGTACATCAAAATTAATAAGGTTGCACATTGCATTTGTACTGATTTTGTCAACAATTAAGCTGTTTTTGTGTTTGCAAAAAAAAACAGAAATGCAGGAATAGAACAATTGTTGCATTTCAAATGGTTAGGCAGTCGAAACCCCATTTATTTATTTGATGTCAAAAGATACTAACCATTTTGATTGTTTTTTAAGGTAAATGCGTGGAAACTGAAATCAATTGGCATGAACCCAAGTGTTGAAAACTATCTTGTCCTCCACCGTTTTGGAGTGGTATGTTTGAGCGGCATTCAGCTATGGGTTCCTTTGAGTAGAATGGTTTTGGTTCAAAATTAATTAGCACATTTTTTATCAATTTTAGCAAGATCCCAATGTAAGTTGATACATTTTTAGTTTCATTGTTGGTGTGTCTTCTGATAAATTTATTCATTACTAAAAATAACTTATTTTGTGTCTGTCTAGTTTAAAAAAGCCACAACAGAAGCTGAACTTCATGGAGCAATTAAAAGTTTCTTGCAGTCTCTTCGGGAAGATATTAACCCTAAAAATCTCAACAAATTCATCCAGGCTTTCATGGAGTGAGTTTCTATATTAAGGCAACAACTATCGTAATAAATTTTAGGTCTTACATTGCATTGAAGACAGTTTTTTCTTTAATGGGTTTTGTGGTCATGATGTTGCGTTTTGTTAAGTCAACTGCTTGCTTTCCTAATTGTGAATGGCAAATCACAGGCTCATTTCATAATTCTTGACGTATCAAATTAAAACAATGTCTTAGTTAGGAAACATTCTCCCACTAATCGGCAAGAGATATAATTTGGATGTGCATGTTTTGGAATTTGTTAACTCCTATTCCTGAACAAAGAACGTTCTTTATTTTATTCAGTCACAATTTTCACTGGTCGTGGTTATTCGCTGTTTGTACTCTTTTCCTTTTTAGGCGAACAAATATCACCGAAACTATCGGAAACCTGAAGTGAGTCAAATGAAAAAACGATTCCTCGTATTACTTAAAAGGCTCAAATGGACATTTGTTTGAACTTAAATTGTGCCCACATGCTCGTCAAGAAGTGCGCTTTTGTGTGCTGTCGCTGTTATGGAGTCTACATCGGTTGCACAGTTTCTCTTTTAAAAGCAACCAAAATTGCAAGCAAACATTATTGATTCCACCATAACTCTTTGATGCCCTATCAGTCTAAACTGGCCATAATCCGTCCCATTACCAGACTTACATGTTATTCTCATGAATGACTGACACTTAGCTCCTCTGTCCGGCAACTTTTCGCAGCTTCCGATCTAATCTTCTGCAACTGCCCCATTTACCAAATATTTGTCCGAATATGAGGATGCGGACCTATAAAGACGAATTTATATAACTTACATTGTCTTTTTTCTTTCCAAAAGGTGTCCAGTTTTGTTTATAACTGGGTCTCTCGCCTCCTTTAACCACACCGTCTACACCCTCTACAATGCCCTACTGAATTCACTGAAAGACAATCCTGCCCGCAGAGCCGATGTTGAAATTCTCGAAATTGACGGCGTCGCAAATGTTATGCGAGAACGGGTGAGTTTGTTGCGGTGTTTCTAGGGCCCCTGTTCAAGCCGTTTTCGCTGTCACCATTATTTTACCGATTTTAGTAGTTATTTATGTCTCGAAGCCCAACAATTTGAATTCCTTAGGTTGTAGTTTCACATAAGACCTTGTAACTCTCATTTACTGACACTATATGAACCCAAAAACAAATAAGTACTTAAGTGAAATACTCTAATCATGTGTGTCATTTTAATCAACGGGTCAGTATACCATAGTTAAGAACCGTATCTTCGGATTGGTTTGAGCCTGTTTAGGTGATTTTTTGAGAACTCGCGCCATTTTACTGGAGCCGTTTAAAAATCAAGGATGCAAGCTTTTTTCCATTTCTGGCTGCTCTTCACTTTTAAAAAACGGACGACTTTTCTAAAAACCGTCCCATCATGGTTTGATTCAGGTTGATTACTTAGGTAAATTATTTATAAATAGCAATATTCAGACATCTGAATCCCATCAGACCGTCTCTAGTCTTGTGCTCTCGACTGTAGAATTCGCAGCTCATTAGCTGAAGTCGTGAATAAGATTTTGTAAATCATGTATGGGATACTGATGGAGTCACTTTATTTTAGTTTACACACTCTCACTTTGAGCTTCAACTTCTATTTTCAGCCTGAAAGAGTCGCTGAGTCAGTGCAGAACTTTATGCAGGGTTTGGGCATTGGTACGTCTCACTTTCTTTTATTTGACATTGTCCGATAGCCGTTAGGATTTCTAAAATGTTGGATAAATGGCTTACTGAAACCTAATTGTATCCAGTCTCTTTCCTACGCACCAGTGTTCTCTTTTCAAATCGTCCTAGCCCCCAAGTAATTTACAGTGAAGTGCAGGGAGACAAAGGCACTTCACTTAAATTCGACGTTGCCATTACTAAGCCTACGGGCATGTGAGGCAAACCTTTTGTAGTATTGGGTTTTAAACATGCAAAATTACATTTTCATCACAGCTGTGCTGTTCCTGTAAAGTATTTAAAAAAACACTAAAGGTTAATTTGCTCAGATTAACAGCTGCACAACTTACTGAAGTAGAGTAGAGGTTAAGACATGCTTCCCAAAAAAATTGGATTTAAAAGAGGAGCACAAAACTTGCTTCACTTATTAGATGACGCTGCAGATATTTCGGTAACCTCTTCAAGTTGTAGTTTTAGATTCTCCAAAAGGTAATTTAGTAGTCTGTTAGGTTAAAATGCCTAGTGTTTTTCAGACGAACGTTCGTGGATAAAACATGATTTGGTTCCATAAACCGAGTTGTTATTCGGTTGGGTTCGTAGAATCGATACACGATCTACCACCTTTCTAGGAATGTTGCGATTTTTTATATCATCACAATTTTTTCGGGTAATGTCTATTTAACTGATATTTGTTTCGCTAAGTCTTACATGCTGACTAATTTTGATGCCAACATACTTGACTACATTGACTCGAATATCCATTCCTCAAGCGGTTGCTTGGCGTTTAACGAGACTTCTCTTTTTGAATTGGATGTTAAATCCAGGGAACCCCAACCCTATCTTCTACTTACTGCTTTTATTAAGGCTAATTAATATAGACGAAACCTATTCTCGTGTTTTCTATTGGACAAAATAAGTGTTCAATTATCCAATCAAAACCAAAGTCTTATCAGCAATTACCTGCGCAGAATGTTGTGGGTATCTTGGTCAAATTTTCGATTGGAGGGCTTTGAGAGGCCATGTTTGCGTCGTCAGCAAAAGAACCAGGAATTTTGTTAAGCTCTGAAGGTGGCGCATTAGTGGGAGCAAAACCGCGTGGCACAGAAGACCGAAGTCACACGCTTATTTGGGTCAGCTTAATTAGGTTAGAAAAGTTTCCGGCTGTTGGTTAATTCGGTTTTGCGTGTGAAGTGGATAATTCAAACTCAGGCCGGGGTAGAGTGAAATCCCGGTGCTTTCGACATGAGGACACGGACACGATGTGTGGGCAAAACAGACAGATCCCAACGCTATGAATGTTGAATCAAACAGTTAAGTGAAGGAGTCTAGTAAATGCATGATTTCTGAGCACTTTTCACTTTAAAACTTCCTACGTTTTTTTATAAAAAATCATTTAATAGTTTTAGCGCCCCGCATGCAATCTAATTTAAATATTGAAAAAATGCAAATAAATGGAACAAAATTTACCAACCATTGAAGGGTGGCAAATCTACATGGCACTTGTTGTTCTTATAAGATTGCGCAATGCGACTTGTATATATTGGAATTTTAGTAGTGGAAATCCGTCGCAAAAGTGGTTATACAAGGGTGTGATAACTGGGAAGACCAGCACAAATGCTGCATGCTTTTAAGTGCATTAAACCGTGATTAAAATCGAATTTGCCCTCCTTCTTAAGCAATATAAAAGAACGGAAGTGAGCATGATGGGGAAATTGAAGTGCTGATGATCCCTTAACACGAGTTACCAAGTTACGCCAGTCTTTTCTCAACCGGATGGGACTAAACTGCCTCAGGCGTGTTTTATTACCTCGTCTCACGTAACCAGTGATCGTCATTATTTTTTGTTTTTAGCCGGTGGCGCTATCAACAGACGCTTGAGTGCCACTGGAAACATTCCAAGAAACCGCAACCGTTCCGCTTCTATGGATGAATACGACCAACCTGTGGGAGTGAAAAATCTCATCTTTGACACGACGCGTCGCTACTCCAAGGCCCCCGATATTTCAGGAATCTCTGAAGTGGGCGAACGCTGATTGGTCCACGCACAAGCCTTCCTAAAGGACAGCTCAATCCTTTGCTAATCATTCCCCGTTCACACCAATTGCCTGCCTCAAACCCAACGATGTTCGAACACCCCACCTTCAGCGGATTGGCTAAATTACGAATCATTTAGTGGTCTCTTACCAAGCTGGTATTTTGTAGAGTCTGTTCCCCCCTTCAAATGCTACAGCCTGATTTAATCAAGTCTTCCTTTGAGAGCACTTGCTGTTTTTCTTTCATTTGAATCGAAAACGAGAGTGGTCTATCAAATTTCGTTGGCCATTTTGACCACTGACATCCATTAGTTAGTTCGTCTAGAAATTCTCGGCATAGAAGCATCGGTTTTTTGTTTGTCCATTGGGAGCTCATCCTGTGCTTATAGTCGCATATTTTTCCGTCAATAAGCATTGAGTGATATCCACATCGAGCCAAACATAATCCCATCAGTTGTTTGTCATTGAAAATCTGACTTTTAGAATTTCAATCGGATCGAAGGAAGTCAGCGGGAATGTCAAAATGACCATAAACTTTGTGTGTTCTTTTTAGAACATGTCATAGGCCTATAAACAAACGATGTTGCTCTAGTGACCACAGGGGCATATTTTAAGTTAAGGTGACATCCAAGTGACTAGATAATTAAAAATGCTACAAATGAACTAGTACAAAACCTTTAACGTTAGCAACTAGGATGCAATCTAGCTAAGAGTGGGAAGTTAAAATAATGGGATATGAGGAGACGGTTCATGAAATTTCACATTAAAAGGTCTTAAAGGAATTTACAGCAAAACTCATTCATGTACCATTTTTCCTAGAGGGAAAAATGCTGGATAAGAAACTTAACAGCAAATAACATGAGTATTTGGGACAAAAAGCATGGTAAATGTACCTTTACATAAGTGGGCTTTTATGTGCTTCCATCTTATTTGCCTTTGTGGTGAACTTTTGACTGGATGTGTAAA